AACCAAATTTGGGTAAAAAAATTATGTTAGTATGTTAACTCTTCTTTGAGGAGTTTCAATGGGGATTGTTTTGGAAAGTAACACGGTTAAAGTTTTAAGCAATAAGTTAAATTTGTACTCAATAGTGCATTGGTCAAATTTCATGAAATAATCATACCCAGAAACTGATAACTTACATATGTAGGGGAAAGAGGGCCATATATAGACCACAGAATATTATCGACCACATTAAAATTTCGAAATGAATGAATTTGAAATTTTACTTTTTTTTACTTCTTCAAAAATGTGTGTGTGGAAAAAACTATGGAGAGGGAAGAGGGAAGTATAGTATACAACGTCCCTTTGACGCAATATCCCAAGTAACACCATAAAATCATTTTGTGTTTATTTGAGGTTTAAAACCGTTTTATTGTGGTAAATAAAAAGATAAGAAAGAACTGGTTTTAAAGTTACCTTGTAGATATACTGCCCGAACATAAAAACTGTTTAGCATATAATACCGGTTTTAAAGAATCTAATAAAATTAGCAAATAATATTAATTAGTCTTAAAAGTTTATGTGCCTCATTGTGCGTGCATGCATGTATAAAAAACTTGCGGGCTGTTTGGTTTTATTACGTTCTAGTTTGTGACGTTATAGTTTTTAAGCAGTTTTAAAGATAATCCTAATATAAGTAATAAAACCTTTTATTAAACCTGCTTGATCTTAGCACTATTTTGTCAGTAAAGAGGATGTCTTAAAACTATTTCAATAGCTAACTTTGAAATGGCTTTCACAAATGCAATAAGAAGGCTATATTAAAACTGAACGCTCTACGCTTAATCAATTTTGTTATCGTAAAGACTAACTGTAATCGTAAAGACTAACAACTTGTTATCGTAAAGACTAACAACTTCTTGTTGGAAACAATCAAATTAAACTCATCCCCTCTTCTTTTATGTCCAAAATGGACATGAATGCATTTTGTTTAGAGTGAAACTGTGATGTAATGTATAATTTGTTACTTTTAGCAATTCTAAAAACAATTATAAAAACTGGAAGTAATATATTAGATCAGTTACTATGGAAGAAATAAAGCATAAGTACTTAATAATATATTTTAAGGTTAGATTTACATTAAAACCGATTGCCATTTATAATAGGCGCATTCAAACTAAAAAGTTTTAAGTCCAAGTTTTAACGCCTTGCTTTTATCTAGGGTAAGTCCTCTTGGAGCGGTGTAAAAATACGGACATATTAAATTAAATAAAACCATTTGATCTTAACGTTTCTCTATCGATTGACTAAATGGTTTTATTTAATTTTCGGTCATTTTGCTTCCTCGAGATGCTGGAAGCCATGATGTAAATCCGATTTATTTTAAGATCAAAAAATTTAAAAAAATGTAAAATAGTAGATAAAACTATTTTCCTATCAATTCAATTATCAAAATTTTTTTGTTTTTTTTTTTATCGTAAAACCAGAAATTTTGAGGCGCGTGAGTTTCTTAAGACTTTCTTGTTAACATTTATCGATAAACTAGGGTGCGCAAGTGTTTTTCTACTTTGACAGTCAGAAATGACCAACTAATTTTTCGTTACTTATAGTTACAGATAACGACGATATATACAACATAACATTTGTTGGCCTTTAACGCCCTGATTGTTATCTTTAAACTGCTTTTATTTGCTAAAAAATGAGTATACGGTAGTTTTAAAAAACAATTTTTATTTAAAGTTTATTCAAACAATAAGATAAATTAGCTTTAAAAGTATATATTAATTAATCATTTTTAAACTGCGTGTGTTTAAAATGAGTTTAAAATGGGTTTAAAAGTGCCTCCACAGCAGTTTTAAGGTTAGTTGCTCAAGATAATAAAGTTTTGTAAAGGTTTTTATTTTTGGATTTATTGACCGATTTCAGTGTGGGCCCTTTTTATGGCGAAATCGAGTTTATTACAACCTTAAAATTTATTTACAAACAAATTGGTTTTGATTGCAGTTTTATTTCATAGTCTTAAGGCATCCTTAAAATACTAAATAAAACCGTTCGGTGCTACTTGGGATATTGTATGAAAATATTGCCGTACCATTTCGCAATACTGTCTCAAAAGTAAATTTAAACAAGATTATCTACTAAGCTAAGTGCATTTTTTCCTTCCTCAACCCTTAGCGCATTAATGTTCCAGTTACATCATGTTGCTAGACTTAAGCTCCTCCCATATTATATTTACTCGTGCTCGAATGGCCACCGACAGCGTGGTGCGCCAGAAAACTGCGCACAAATGAATCAACTCGTATAATGTTAAATAAAACTATCTATATATCCAGCAATTTTCCTCAACAAGATCTAACCCTATCTGAAAAGGAAAAGATTCAGCGCCTAAATATTAAATATTTTTTTCACGTATCAGTGGTTTCCTCTGTGAAAAAGTTAGAAAATCAGAGTCGAACAGAACAAGGTCCAATTCACCATCAAGTCACATATCAAGTAATATCACCTTGTGATTGTTTTCATGTTTTCTTTATTGGATTAAATATTCCCTAAATTATCCAAGAACATAATCCAGAGGGTTTTAGGGAGGGGGATTTTTAAATAGTCCAAAAAGTGAATTTTTCAGAAGAAACCACATCGCTATGTATTTCAGGTATTTCAAACGCGTTCGAGAGCGACACCGTTTTAGTCCTTTTCTCGATCCAAACTGTGAATGCCGCTTACGAAAAATTGAGCAAAGATGAGTTGCTGACACGATGCTTAGGCGGACCTGACTCAGAACACCTTACGAAAGCTTCAATGCACTCGTCTAGTCGATGGCACCAAAAAACATCTCCAGTCAACTGTGTTTGATATTGCCACATATACTGGGTGTAACAGGATCATGTGTTTTTTCACCCTTTTCTCCGTTAGTTTTCAAGATATTTAATTGAAATTTGGGATATCCTATGTACATAATAAGCGACACTGTCTGACATGCAAGTTATTTTTTTCCACTTCCGGTTTCGCCGGAAGTGACACTAACTTTCGATTTTTAAATGGAACACCCTGTATATTATTGCATTTTTGATACCAAATAAGTGACATTTCAAACGTCAATATTTTTTACAATTATAATTTTTAGTTTTCCATTTAAGTGGGCCATGATGGTTCCGATTTATTCTAAATGACCCATGTAATGCTACAAAAATCAAAATTCCGTCAAAAATACTAAATTATGTGATTTATGAGCAAATGAAGTTCATGAAACAATTTCTCTTAGCTGTAATTTTGTTTGTATTTATCGCACATATTGATACGACATAAGAATAAATTACTTATTAATAGTAATAATAAATGGTACTACGGTACCATTACGATATATGGTTCCATTTGAGAAAATTGAGTTCTGCTCCAGAAACAATTTTGATGAACTTTATTTGCTCATAAATCACATAATTTAGTATTTTTGACGGCTGATCTGGAATTATGCAAGTTATAAAGCTTTTAGACTTAAATTGTCTAAATTGTTAAATTTCTGCTCCGAAGCCGACGAGACGTGCATGAAGCTATCTATTAGTGTTCCCTCACAGAAGAGGCCCAACAATCTCGTAAAGCTGCAATATCTTTCAGAAAGGATGACGACCACGAAAACCTTAAACTAGAAGACCAATTGTATGCATCGCAGATTAAAGGAAACCGAAAATTTCATTACATTTATACTGTTTGAAACTTTAAACGCGTTTATCTCGAAACCATGTTTTTCGAGCTCTCCGCTCCTTCAATTTTCAGCCGATTGACTTGAAAATTTAACTGGAGCTTCATAATAACATTATATAGTGAAGGACGTGGGATTTTTTTATCAATTAAAAATTGATTGATTTTTTGATTGTAGATCGAATTTTTCGAAAAATAAAAAAAACGTTTCAAATCGACGTCATTTTTTTAAATCGAGTAATCGAAAAAAATTCCGGTCTTGGGTCGTATTTTTTATAAAAAAAATTAGGATTTCTGTTCCAGATGCCGAATTGTGACCTACATGAGTACGGCAAGCGATGTCGAGCGGCAAAAATGATTTTTTTTTCAAGGAGCTGTAGTGCCTGTCAGTGGCGGTGCGTGATATTTCAGTTAGCCATGTCTTGAAAACGACGCATGTGACCCACTTCACTTTTTAGGTGATGACTATACACCTCTTACAGAAAGGATTTATAGTGAAAAAATCGTCAGCAAAGTTACAAAAATTTTCAAAAAACACTGGAGCACTCCCTGAGTAACGCTCTGTGGGATATTTGCAGTATATTTTTTTTCATAATCTAGAAACAAATATAAGGAGACGTTTGTAAATAATATGTTTGTTTAATTAACATTCACAGGGTACCATTCACAGGTTACCATATACTAGGGTTATTGCTTGAATATATATAGGTATATACTTGTAGGTAATATATTATGACATATTTGTACGCCCTCCGTGACGTCACGAACGGTTAGATTGCGCAATTACTGAGATATACTTAGAGCTTAACTACCTACTGATATTTACCTCTGTTGGTGAAAGGTGATTAATAAATATATTTTATAGTTTAATTTAAAACATATCCTTTTTTTATTTATTTCAAGAATATTTTTGTCAATATTTGTGAATGCAGTGTTTGAGCACCCTTATGGTTAGGGATCTCCTAGCATGGTTGCAGTTTTTTTTTATTGCTAGTGGCGCCGTTTATTTTATTTTTTTTGCATATATGAAGACGCAATATATATGTTTATTGTTTTCTTTGGTAGTTGCAACTATTCGAACCTACCCACTCGCCGACTGAAGCTGAGCTAGCTTTCCGGCAACCTTATGTGCAAGCCTACTGCGGCTCAAACATTTGTTGTTGTTTTTTTTATTCATTGTTTTGGAAAAATTATATTTAGCAGGCTTGTCGCATGCCGCCATTTTGTTTTTTAAAAATGCATAAAAAATGTTTTTCAATACTTTAAGACATGTACTTTAATGTAAAAAAAAACAGAAGTCAATAAATCGTTTCATTTCTTTTATTTTATTAGCCGCGGCGATAGCTCAGTGGGTAAAGCGCCAGGTGAGAAGATAGCGATTACTCCGAGAGCTATTATCTGTGAGGGTTCAAATCCCGCCTGTGGCAATTGGCACCTGTCACAGGGTTTGGTTGTGTGTCCTACATCTTTTCCATGTGTATTCTCCCTCTGCACAGTCGCAATGACATTTGTCAATATCAGAACAGAATGTCAATTTCTGTGGTGTGATTTATTATTATAGCGCTTCGAGAACATTACCCTTCATTTCGTGAACTCAAGATGATATTACCCCTTAATAAGAATATAGATCTTATTAAAAGAAATATTCAGTCAATATACGTAGGAGGTCGGAACTTCTATGCTTTCATTAGTCACCTTGTACTCACGCGTCCTGTCTTCGACACGTATCCTTCGCCGTATTCTCGGTGGAAAAGGGTTTTTGTACCATCCTTCAAGGGATGATATATACCTAATCGACACGCTTCTGTTGCGTGAGTACGTCTATTAACTTTAATGATTTGTGAAGCGCACGCATCAATCATTTTTTCCTGTGACACCATACCATCAACTTCCATATTGTGTTTCTCACCGCGTCAAAGACTGTATCTCGTTTGTCTTTTTTTTTATTTTCATCGCGTAGTGTATACGAGGAAGCGGCCAGCTCTAATGAGATAATTCTCTGATCTAGATCAAGACGGGCCTGGTGCATATTAATAACAGCTGAATAACGTCAAAGGGAGACCTCTTCCTGTACCGCACACACATTTCAATAAATTATCAAAGCTCGCGAAGTAGAGTGGCACCGAGAACGAGAGCTAGTTTATTTAGTCAATTAAGCAAATAAAAATTACACTGAAAGAAAGATTTACTTGTAATATCAAACAGTTTTATTTCATTTTGTACATACGACACTTTTTTTTGTAACATGGTACGTTAGAATTCCATATTATTGATTTGATTTTGGTCATGTGTTTAAAAACACAGATAAATGTTATGTTTTCATCTTTGTTATTACCATTTGTTGGAAATATTAGAATCTTTTTTTTTACATTTTGGATTACAAAGCAGTATAATTTTTAGATTTCATTAGAAACCAGTATTATGTTGTAGAATTGTTTTCTTCTTGGCATAGAGGTAGTCCTAAAGAATTAGTATTGAACTAATCAATAACTAACGTACACACCAGGATAGCTTTGCCCGCCCATTGCGTACGGCGAACGAAGTACGAGGTAGTACGACTATACCCGAGAGACATAAGAGATACTCATTAACAAACAGTGGCAGACTGTACTTCTCAGACTGCTGTTACAAAAGAAACTGCACCATTTTAGGTTTTTCTACTTTGTATTATGTATTTATTTGAATCAGTGGCAGGTGGTGGAATTTTAAATTCTTGTGTTCTCGTAGGAGGTGATTATTAGACCTCGATAATAAGAAAAAAATCTTCGAAGCGATAAATTGAAAAAAATGTCTGCCTCACCAGAAAATCTTGTACCTAAATGGTTTGCAAAATATTTGTGATAATTGTGATTGTTTTCATAATTAACAATTAAATATTAAACCTCTATTCTTATGCTCTGCAGAATTTTCTTATGTTGATTGAAGTTGGAAGGCCTTGTATTAACATGTTGATTAAGAAAATATATTTTGCAAGTTTTTGAACACTGTTTTCTAGATCTTCTGGTGAAGCAGTTTTTATTTTTTTTTCGTGTTGCATTATTTTTTTTTACCCCTTTTTTATGTTCTATTTAGGTAAAGTAATAACACCATAAAATTTTAAATAGGGTCCCCATGTTCCGTTATGCATATGCAAAACATTAAAATTTCGCTGGCCACCACCGATTTAAATCGTTTTATACTGAAAAAATGTAGGTTCCCAAAATTAAAGAAAAATCAAATAGGTAGGCATACTTGAAATTGGAACATAGAGCTCATCGAATTATACAAATTGGTTAAATTTTCTTGATTAATTTCAATAAATATTAATAGGTTAATAATAACTCCTTTATCAATTTAATTAATATGGTGATTGGACTTATTCCATGAAATTATTCGTTTTATACTTTTTTATTTTTGATACTGTGGTTGAAACGCCAGCAAGCTGATGTCCGTAAAAGGAGCTTACGCGAGAAAGAGTTCGTCAACATTTTTATTTCACTCATAATGAGAATTGATAGGGCCTCGATTGACTGATGTTCTTTGAGCAAGTTAATTTTAAAATTAAATTTTTAAGTTCATTAATTTTCATCAAAAATATTAAATTACTGTCTCTGCCAAAGGGTATGCTATGATGACAAGTATTTAATACCTTTCAAGTTTTACATTCAACAGGGACGTCAAGGTGTTTTTTACATTTAACTCTTTCCGGTGAAGCTGTTTATGCAAAGTTTTCTACAGGTACCTACACCTAAAAATCGTTAGAGGAAAAGTATCAGCAAGGTGTACTGAAAATGGCACTAAAAATCTCTTAAGAAACCAATAAGTCAACTAGATAGACGAGTGGCCGAATAAGCAATGTTAATAAAACTTCTTTTCTATATGCGCAATTAAAAAAAATAGTAATTACCGAATGGCGTCCATAAAATTATCTAATCCTAAAATACTAATTTTGTGCCCATGTTTGGTCTACTTTACACAGGACTTAAAATTTTTTTTTATTGAACTTAGATAATAAAGATTTAGACTTGTTGTTTCTCTCTTCAATATACTCTTCGAAACAGAATTTGGATAAATGACACATACTTTATTTTCATACTGCAGATAATGCTCTTTATCGTTGTCCCAGGTCACAGATACAACTCCATACTGTCGCATAAAGAGTTAAGATAAGTAGTTTGCACGTATTTTTATTTGTTTTGTCTTTACATTCTTGTTTCTACTGAAATAAAATTTTGGTAGTTGGTAGTAAACAAATCCTTTAATTCCATTATGTGTACGTGCTAAAAATAAATTAGTTTAACATCCTTCAAAAGGACTATTAAACATCGTGCATACGGTATATATGTAAGTACAAAGAGCAGGCGCACTTATAATTTTGTGTCTGGTAATGAAATTAGTCTTTATAGACTAATGCAGAAACGTTTCTGTCCCTTTTTGGTGATCTCGTCGAAATTAAATCTAGGTAAACAGACAAACTACAAAGGATTCGAAATCCAGCACGCGGTTGTTCTTTTTGCTGAAGTTTTTCCTCTAAAATTTAATTAAACAATGCAGCGCTACTGGCGTGGTCCAAACTAAAGCAGAGCTTAATTTTACCGGTCATGTGCAATTAAAATGCATTTAATTATCCGCATGCTGAAGTTTTAAATGGCAATTCTATTAAATGTGCCTCCATTAAACTTTCTTTTTGACACTCGCCTTTTCTATGTAGTATGTTATTTGTTTTATCTTCACAATAATATAATATAATATGTAGGTTAACAAAACTGGGAAAGATTTTTATAATTACGTAGATATAGTTCTATGTTTGATAAATTCAGAAGAATTGGGTGGTTGGAGTCATTGCTCAGGCGTCTACCTCAGGGAGCTATATTTAACGTATGAGTAAAAGCACCAGAAAAGTATTTGTATAAATATACGTATGTAAGTATAACCTTTTAAAATAAAATTACAATAACGAAATAAACTACTGACTAACACTAATACTAATACTAATTTATATACAACATTATATCTCCGAATTTATGGTGGCTTACGTTTTACACAACGCAAACCGCATGTATTTATTTTAAAGACTAACTGCTCCGCCGCTGTTGCAGGTTATATATCCCCAGCCGCAAGGCTCTGGAGCCTTCGCGTGTTGTCTCCGGTTTGTGGAGAAACGACTCGAAGGCAATTTTAATTTGAACAACATGGATATACACTTCCAGAGATCAATTGAAACCAAAAAACACTAGCAAAAAAAATCGCCAAGTGGCACTAAAAAATACAGAATTTTTGTATGAAACTTCGTTTTTAACATCTTAACACATATACAGACTATTTTTGTGCTTAAAAAATAATGTCTCCTTTTTTCTGATGATATCCGTGTTGTCATTATGAAAATGTCAAGTTTAACCCTAGTAGGATAGCTCTCTCGAGCTTAAAGATAGCGTTGTGTAATATTTACATGTGTCAGAAAACTTGCATCCTACTAAATAAAGCACGGCATTGGGTTATTAAAACACAAATACATCTTTATTTTAACATAGGTAAGTTTATATTTATGAAAGTGAATATGCAAAAAATCAAAGAAACTAACATTATATCAGAATTTATACTTATTTTATGCTTTCTCCTTGCATGTAAAGGTAAATTCTACTTATTGCATTCAGCATTTATATATAGGGTATATAAAAAAAAACTAGTTTGCATCACAGTAATGTAAATAAGCTAGATCACAAATAAAATATTGTCACAAATTATTTTTATTAAGACTGTTTTAGACAACAATTTATTGCACAATAAGTAGATTTTCTTTTTTCAATAAATTGTCCAATCTTAAATATTTTTACTTAACTGTTTACACTTTGCAATCTTACAATTTTTTGCATTATTTAGTTAGGAATTACTTCTAATCTTCGTACGAGATGAAAAATTCTCTTTTGATGGCCTCCAAGAATGCAACTAAAATGACAAGGTTAGTACATGAAAATAAATGTAAAAAATTACTAAGTATCCCTAAAATTGACCAAGAAAGTAGAGCAAGTTATAATTCTACAATTTTTTGTACAAGTTATTGTGGACAATAAATTGGGAGCAATTTATGTTTTACACGTATTTAAATAAATTTCAAAAAGGTCAACTTGTACAATTTATTGTGAAAAATATTGGCGTGTGTAAAACAGTCATAAAATACTTTTGTGGTGAAGTATCATCCTAAACGTCTCTATTTTTTCTAACTCGCTCGAATTTGAGACACTACTGACCAACGGAAGAATAGACAAAGAGGATACCAAGATGGCGCCACTCAGCTGGACAGGGCCCATCATTGTTTAGCCAAAGTATAAACTTTACAGACCGCTATCCTACTAGTGTTAGATATCTATCAAGAAAAGAGGAATTCATCAGGAGGTTTACATTTAATTCATCCATGACTATATCATTCAAGACGAGGGTTTGAAGGGTG